CGAGGCTCTCGCGAGTAGACAGAAGATACATACCCGCAAAAGTCCCCTATCCAGTGACTGTTAGTGGATAGGCGAGAACCCAATTTCATACCCTTAGACCAGTGCTATGGCTATCTAGTACGTACACTAGGGCCCTTATATGCTTCCAAAGGAGGCTCGGATCCTTGTACTGACAATCCCTTAAACCTAAACCCTGAATCCCTAAAGCCCATAAACACTAAAACCCCTAAACCGTAGATAGATAGGGACAACATGTTTGAGGAAACCTGCTGGGATATGCTGAAAACCCAATCTTATACCTATATGCCAGCCCTAGAAAATAGGGTTTATTGTTCAGGGTCTAGGGTTGCCTTAGGGTTTAGGGGTTTAGGGTTTAGGGTTTAGGGTTTGGTTCGTTGAAGGGGGTTACAAGGGACATGTACACTTTTGGGAAAATGGAGAATCAAATCGAGAAGAAAATGCACAATGAGATGGGAAGTGGGGTCACGCAGAGGTTTCTACGAATAACTTGCAACACTATGAGATTCCTCACATGAAACTGGTATACCTCAAACAATCCTCAAAATCGTGTTGGTATTTTTTCGAGCCTCTACACGACACAATCCTTTTACATATCCCCTATGTTACTCAGCATCTCATGTTCCTTTCTGTTGGCCTTTGGATTCACTATCATTGGAGCAACAATCCTGAATTCTATGTGTGATCCCTACACATCCGCTAACCAACCTTAAATCCAGTAACTCTTATCCGAAGCCAGGCCAAGACCCTAAACGATCCCATCCAACGACGAAGGTGGGGCTGAACTGCCTCTGTCAAATGGCCTCCCAACACGTGCAACAGAATGATGCTTTGCTGCAGAAGATTCAAGTTTCGCGTGGGCCATTAGTTTGAATAATTTTGATTCCCAATTTAAGGGCATTTCGGTACTATTCCCTATATAACCCACCATTTAGGGTGAGGTCGGGCCGGCATCTATGGTAATGGCAAAAGTCAGAAAAAGACCCAGACCCTAAATAAGGGACTTGTGCTGCCCCCGCTTTCACTCAGAGAACCCTTCAAAGGAGGCCGTTCGAATTCAGATTGATTGGGATAATGCCAGAAAACCAGTACAGATTCTGAGCTTGCCCTAAGGGTCCATGTACCCAATAATTGAGTACTCAGGGGTTTGGTAATAGTAGTTAATTATAGTACAGGTTTTGGGCAAGTAAATGATTATTGGGTACTTGGACCCTTAGGGTTGCTTTTTTCCAGCAAGTGCCTCACATGCTGGCCCATTCCAGCCTTTCAGCCTTGAACTATTACACGACTTCCCGGGCGCCACATGACCGCTTTGCGAATTATTGTAGGTTCTTGCAAAACGAAAGGCCGCCAACGTTGCCATAGAGCTCAGGGTTCCAGGCTTAGATAGAGTCGAAGGTTCAGGGAGTAGCCCACAGTTTTGGTCTACTCTACACTAAAATCAGCCAAATCTGACATATATACATTGGTGCGTCCAAGTCCCAAACATAAGGGTTATTGCATTTTGGTGTGAATACATATATTATATATTTATATGTGTATATATATATATGTGGACAATATATATATATATATGTATTCATATACGTATACATATATACATATTTCATATACATATATATAGAAGCCCCCAGTATCCCCCTGGATAAGCCCTATAATACTCCCCTACATAACCCCATATATAACCCGCTTTAAGGAGTTTAGACTGTCGCTCATGTACTTAGGTGTTCGTCTCCGGAACCACGGCCGCGATCTACGCTGCAATGCCATCCTGGCATCGGGCTCTGCAGGCGCTTCAGATTCTTGAGGGTTTAGGGTTTAGGGTTTAGGGTTTAAGCGTTTTGTGACGGCTTTAGGGGTCGGAGTTTTGGGGCTTTGTGTGACTACGTGTTTTCTCCTGCTTTTAAGCTTTCTGGGGTTTTCGCGAGTTCAGATCCTGAAGGGTTTAGAGGCTTACCCTAAGGGTCCAAGTACCCAATAATCATATTTACTTACCCAAAACCTATACTATGATTTCTATTGCCAATGTCCCAAGTACCTAAATATCGGGTACATGGACCCTTAGGGTTAGGGCTTTGGGGGGATTGTGGGGTGTTGCGCTGCGGGGATCAGGTTTAGGATTTCGAGATCTGGGGCCTTTCTAGACATGTTGCACCCTTCTAACATGATTTCGCAGCATTTGTTGGACCTTGTAAAGAAAATCCGGTGTAGAGCTGCACGAACTATGGCTTTCAACCTGAAAACCCTGGCCATGCATGCTCTTCCCCTATCATAGAAGATTCCCCCAGACTTCCCAGATCTATTTTCCTAAACGAGAATAGTCAGCTTCATGTAGATATACAACCTTAATGGGGAGTCTAGAAATTTGGGTTTGAGGTGATTCATGATAAGGAATTGCTTAATCCAAACGCCCTTAGGTCCTCCGCGAACCGTCCCTATTTCCAGGTGCTGCGGGAAATGGAGACAGCACAGGCATCCGGAACATGGGGCCTTTTGGATGTGACTGATCAGTTCCCGTTGCATAATGTGCCAACTCCAAGTATTGGGAACTCCCCATTATCCCATTATCATACCGCACTACCATAATCAAAGGTATTCAATACTCAAGGCGAGGGACGAGGTGTCTTGCTTCAAAGGGGAGAAGATGAGCGGGTTCTTAGTAAGACGACACCATTGGTGCATGTTGATGTCAACATACAATAACTTGTATTTTTCATTGGACTAGGAAAACAACCCATGCACATAAAGTAAAAGAACCCTGACAGGACGAGGTGAGGGCGAGGGAAGTCCATCTGAAGCACCGTCGCAGTGCAGATGGACAGGAAGTGAGGGAGCTGGTTTTCGAGTCGGCTAGGGCCCCACCCCTTCGGACTAAGTCCTTGGGGTGGCTTAATCGGGACTCCAGGGCCAAACCCGCAGTTCCGTTTGAAGGTGATACCCCTAAGGAGTTCACCAATTTGCTGCGTTTAGCTGACTCTCTCAAGGAGAAGAAGCTAACGATTGCCCTGGAGGACCGTCGCCACTATATGCGTACATGGGGTAAGCACATGGCGCCAGACATTCGCACCATCTTCCGGCATGCTAAAGTTTTCCACCCGGAGCCAAAGAGAGCCCGGGGCCGACCTTCTAAGAAGCGAGGCAATAAAGTAGAGCAGTCGGAAGACTAATCATAACTAAAACGCATATATGTAAGAAATGTAACATAAGCACTCTCGGGTGCCATGTGCTTACCCCATGTATTTTTGCGCTTTCTTTTTTCAGCTTTGGCCGCCCGCGGGTCCGCGACGCGGAGACCGCCTTCCGAAAACAGAGAAAACAAAACAGAACGACCTTATAAGAAACGATATGAGCATCAGAGTCAGTAACATATTTCGGAAGGCCGGTTTCCAATAGCTTGCGGGCACGCGGCGCCGCCGAGGCATCCAACCCGGCGCAAAACAAGACTCGGCAGCAGCAGGCTTTCTAAAGGCCAGGGTGAGATTATCGGAAGGTAGTTTTCGGGCCATGTAGGCATGCAGCTTGAGAAGCTTCACTTTCCCTTGCACCACCCTGAGCATGTACTAGAGATCACTTTTGCGTCTCCCTCTAGGGGATACTGGTACACAGCGAGAAGTTTCTCAAAAACACACTTGCATCGCAGTAGAGATCCCTAGTGCTTTGGAGAGTGGACAGCATAGCCACTTGTCCCTATAACAGCTTCTTCTCTTTGGAGGAGATCAGGTACTAAGAATGACATAAAGCCTGAACACGGAGCCTTGTGCTTTTGGGTGTCAAACTTTCCGGCTTAGCTATTGAGGACTACCACTAGCAATGGTCATTATAGTGGCCATAAGTCCCAAGACATCGCTTGAGCGATTTCTGTGGTGTCTGTTCTCCCATCTCCGCGGCGTTACCCTCCCTAAGGGGCTAATATGAGGATCATATAGGGGACATATAGGATGTAACTTCCACGCAGTTTAGGGTTAAGGGTCTAGGGGATACAACCCTAATAATGGTGAATCCGATGGAACATGGACTCTGTTTTCTATATGTATATTGATTGGCTTGTGGAGATGAAGGGTTCCCCTCCCCCAAACAAAGACGGAAGCCCATCAAGGACATTTGTTTTCGTGGTGCTCCTTTTGGGCTTCCATGTTTCTTTGGGAGAGGATGCTAATTTTGTGGTTTCAGAGCTGTGTGGGGTATAGTCAAAATTCCTTCTGTGGGAGCGTATGCGAAGTGTCCCTATATGAGAACATGTATAACTCGGGGCGCTCTTTCGTCGCCCCAATATTACCCATCCTGAGGTTCCCCGTACTTAGCTCTAAGTAGCTAAGTCTAAAGAAGCCTAGTTTAGGAAGAAACTGGTGTGAAGGGAGGGGGTCAGGAACTGGTGCTGTAATCTCCTCGTAATCCCTGTGCTCATGCATCCTTAGGGTCCCCAAGGGCCCCTGTGTTCCGAGAAAATCCTGTATCTTCACCTACCCTTGCTGGCCTTGCAGTCCGACGCTTGCATTCCCAAAGATTAGTGCTCCATTTCAATGTGTTATATATCATGGGTTCCCCTACTACCACCTTCTATCGGGAAGGTGTAGGAGTATATAGGGATTTAGGCTTAGGGTTTGAAAATATCGGCAGTCCGCCTGTTTCGGGCGTACCTAGACGAAGGAATCCTGTATGCTGCAGTGTGTCTACGGGTTCCTTCTTCTCTCAGGCTATCATGTATTCCTCCAGTTCCCAGAATTTGCTATAACAGGATTATCTCGATAACCTATACCCCCTGAAATTGAAGACCCTGCGCTTTCTGTGCCCATAGCCACAATATGCTATACTATAGTTTCCGGCTTATTTTCCATTATTTTCATAACCCGTCTTAAGATGGCGGGGCTCCAAAACCAAACATTTTTCGATGCTAAATAATGGGATCTAGGTTCTATATAATCTATAGTTACATAGCCCAGTAGCCTTCTATTTAGGTAACTGGGAGCCCTAGGGATTCCTATATGATGTATTCCCCCAGTGGCCGATGCCAGGAGCAGCCAAACGAGATCGTTTGCGACACCTCGATACTTGCGTGTGATGCGTGTGGGCGCTGGAGCAAGGCCACTGTTCCTCTCAAGGCCTTACCCTAAGCGTCCATGTACCCAATATTCAGGTACTTGGGATATTGGTAATAGTATTTATAGTACAAGTTTTGGGTAAGTATATGATTATTGGGCACTTGGACCCTTAGGGTTAAAGATAACCAAAAACCCTACGCCCTTGTAATGACCTTTAAACCGGGTTATACACATGGGTGGATGTCAAAATTATGGTCCCTTTTAGGGTACTCTAATTATTAGGTGCCGTATTATAATAGGGATCCCAAAAGGGCCATAACTTTGACAACCTCCCACATGTACATGGCTTAGCTGCTCAGGGTCTGCTGGTTCCGGAGTAGTTGGCATGCTTTGGCATCTCGATGATGAGACACAGACGCAATTCATGATCTCCCCACCTTTTCTTCGAAGATTGAAGCCATGGGCCCCTAGCATGGGCCCTTAACCCTGGGATCCGTTTATGCCCGCTACATGCCCCATATGTACCCCTAAGGGCACCTAAAATCTCCCTTACAGACCTAAGGGCCAACACTTCTAACCTTAGATTTCTAAATCTATGCCATTCCAAATCCTATCGACCTATGACAAATATGCTCCAGCTGAGGAGGCGGTCTCCTAAAACCCTTGAAGCCCCTGAACCTTATCAAATCCTCTTAACACTATCGCCAAAAATCCATTGAGTCCTGGAAAGGCCATGGAGCTGTTCATTGGCTCGGAAGTCGATGGTGTTGCAAGGCCTTCCTTGGGCGAAGAGGGATGGTGTATAACAATGGAAAAGATCGAGATGGAAGCTACTATTCAGGGTGTGAGATTTCGGGTTCAGAATAAGAGGGTTCGTCAACCCCCAACCTAAAACAAGGACCCCTATTTGAGCTCTCTGTTGTCATGTCTATATAGAGCTTTTGGATTCAGGAGTTTAGGGGTTGACCAGTTGGGATCGAGATGTCAAAGGGACTAGGGGCTTGGGTTCAGGCTTTTAGGTTCAGGTGCTCAGGGGCCTGCTTACAGGTTCAGTGTGGGCATCGCCTCGCATTCGGTGATGCATATTGGGGACCCAGGCAGCCTTGCAAAGACCTGCACAGTACTGGAGCGTGTGGTGGACTCTCGTGGGGCATTGCCTGAAATCTAAAGCCTGCACCTACGTGACCTCGCTCGAAACCCCTCAGGAGAAGCCTACATAATTGGGTTTAGGGTTTAGGGTAATTAGCAACTACCTAAACACAAGGTCCCATGTTCCTTGTATGATTAAAAGTGTAGGGTACCTCAAGCAGACCCCAGACTGACATGGGTTATTCTTTCGTCCCCTCCTGTACTTAGAATTACTGTTTTCAGTGCGGAGCAAAGTACTAGAATCCCTATATAATGTATTCCCGTATTCCCTAACCCACAGCAAGTAAATCCTGAAGCCCTAAACCCCAAATTGTTTGGCAAACTACAAAGCATAAATGGGCACAAGTTTTAGTAAGCCCCAATGATCCCAATAACACCTAACCAGGTCTAAGTCAGAGGAAGCATTAGTAACAGTAGCGTTATGATATTGACAAGTTTGTTTCGCCACAGGTCAAAGCCGTGTTCAGGGCTTGGGGACCAGGGTTTAGGGAACAGATCAAGTTAAAGCAGAACAAGGAAGCCTCAAAAAAAACATTTCGCTCGTCTGCCAAGGCCTATTGCAAAGAAAGCCTTGGTTTCCCTGATGTCATGAAGACCCTTGCTGCTGCTTAAGGGCAAGGGGGGGAGTGGATCCCGGTGATAACCCCTGTTTACAGTTACTCCCTCAAACTCAATACGCTCGCACTTTCCATTGAGACCGTAAAAGCCTATGGCCGAAACCCTAAGCCGTGCAGCACCAGCAAGAAAACGATATGCAGAATTACCAACACCATTCTCTAAAACTCCTTGTACAAATATAGTAATATAGCAGCATGTAAGCCCAAAAGCCTATTCCATTTAGTAAGGCCTCTGCAGTAGCTGGGATTAGTGGTTCATTTCCCTGATCCAACGGCGCAGAGCCTGAACTGAAAACCGTAAGCATGGAACCACACACCCCAGACCCTGCTCATTTTATGCATTCTGGATATGCTCCCTAAGCATCCCATGAAGGTTTTTCTAAGTTGAGGCGGGTAGTCTTCATGCTACAGAAAATTGCATTCATGATCGTGGGGACCCCAGAAGGTGCACATGATTTAGAGGGACCCCCCACAATCTAAAGTTGAAACCGCGGGCCCCTCTTGTGAGCCCTTATCCCGGGGATCCCCATGTACCTACTTCATACCTTATATGTTCCGTTAAGGGCACCTAGAATCTCCCTAAAAGGCCTAAGGGCCCATACCGCAACCTTAGATTTCTATGTTCTTCCAAATCCTATCTACCTATGACGAAGGATCCTTCCTTGAGTGCCCTTAGAATCCCCCTGAAAGAAGAGGTCCCCTGTCTCCTTCCTACACATTCTGGCCACGCTGGGTGTGGAGGACCGGCTTGGAATGACATTGTGCTTTCACTGGGTTTAGGGTTTACGGGTTTAGGATTTGGGTTTTAGGGTGGGTATGTCGTCGTTAATAGGACTTCCTTATTGTAGTAACTTGATCAAAGTTCCTTAACAGTAAGCCAATATGCTTTCATGGGTGGGGTTTGGAGTCTTGGGCTTAGGATTTGATGATTTGTTTTGAGGTGTTGGGGGTGCGGGTTGAGAGTATGTGGGTTGAGGCCTTAGGCTTTAGTGTCTACCACTAAGGTCTTGAGCCTTTTTAGGCCTGGAGGTGGGCCCACGCAACCAAGAAACCTAATCAGCATGATGACCATCAAAGCCCCTGCGTGCTTTCCCGGATTTCTCTGTAAGCAAGTTTCCTCTTAAACCCGTGGTCTGCCTTGTGTTACTTGTGCTTAGGGGGGCGGGACACTGGGGGAAGAACTAGCCTTTAGATGACCCCCTATGCATACTGCCTACATTGAGGCCGCCATCCTCCTGAAGCAACGGCAGGGTTATGACGGGGTCTGGGATTGTGCGTGTAGGTGTAAGGCTAAGTGGGGCAAGTTGGACCTCGCACGACCTCAAAGCAAACTGTGCCTTATGCATAAATGGGCATAATTTCAGGTCCTGAAATTCGTATTACGTGGCCGGTTCACGCATGTCTTTTGACCACCACACATGGGCGCGTGAAGCGCCACGGGTAAAACTGAAGATGAGGCGTGTGAGGGGCTCCCAAAATTGGGGGTCCGATTCTGGAGGTAGTATAAGGTTTGGAAGGCACACGAAGGGGTACCCCAATTGTTGAAAAGAACCATGTGTAGCCTGGTTATGACTTCCCATTTTTCCTTGTACACCACGCTGGTGCAGGACCCGGAGGTCATCAGCAGCAGTTGCTTAGAGGCAGGCAGCAGTACTGGATTGTCATGGCTTCGTTCAACCTTGGAAGAATTGCCAAGACTGTTTCCATGCAATCCTTACTAACTTCTCGCGCCGCATACTTTAATGTCTCGTACAGGTCCACAATGCTTGTCTTTTAAAACATCGGAAGTGCAACCAATAACCGAGCCCTGATCTTTGGGCCAGTAATCCCAGTAAGAGCGTTCATCCTTTGACCCTGAATAGCCCCGCCCTGGTACTGGAATTCTCTCCATACCCGTATCAACTAACACATTAAAAATTGTACCGCAGGGAGATGTTCAGGATCTGGTGTTGGCATGTTTGTTTTGGATTGGAGGAGGAGAGCTCCCTAGCCCCTGGAGACTAAGCCTGGCTAAGCCTTCTGTAGTAGACTCAAGCATTGGGTTGATGCAAAATTAAGGGATTCAACCAAACCAGCCAGCCCATCCATCGGCAACATTAAGATCCTTAGACTTGTCTTTGGACCTAGCTCTTCAGTCGTGTCATGACAGACCCCTAAACCCTAAACCCTAAGACTCTGATGTCGTCTTTCACTTTGTCCTCCCCTCCAGACGCGGAGGGATTTAAGGATCTCATGGGGCTACGCGTTGAGAATCCGAGGCCTCAACCCTAAGGGTCCAAGGACCCAAATAATCGGGTTTTAGGGCCCAAAGACTATAATATTCATGGTATTTGGGCCCTAAAACCTTTTTATTTGGGTCCTTGGACCCTTAGGGCAAGCTGAAAACACTAAGCCGTGGATCTCAAATACCATGCCCGCGTTGTTAACGCTGCTTTGTTTCAACCAGAGTCTTTTCAAAGCCCTTAACCCTGTGATAATTAGGAAACCTGCAAATGCAAACGTAGGATCCCCGTACACACATTTAGGGAGCCACCAGGCCTAAACTCGGTCCCCAAAGCTAAAGCCCTAAACCTCAGAACCAAAAACACACACTGAAACTTACGTAGAGGACCCGGAAACCTAATCCCATCTCCAAGTGCTCGAAAAACCAATCCTTTGAGAGCCTAGACCTAATCTAATCCTGAAATCAAACCCTCAATGCACGTCCAACATAATCCTTTAACCCATCTTAACCCTGACTAAAACCACAAACCCCAAACCCTAATCTACCCATGCAACCTAAACCCTAAACCCCAAACCCTAAACCCTAAACTGTACAAATTCCACAACCTCTTCGCAGAGGTGGCGCGGCGACCTCCTGGACGGCCGGGTGAGGTGAGAAATGGGGGTTTTCCAATTAAGGGTTTAGGGTTTAGGGTTTGGGCTTTCAAATTTCAATGATTTAGGGTTTAGGGTTTGGGTTTGGGCTTTCAAATTATAATGGTTTAGGGTTTAGGGTTTATGGCATGCTTTATTTGGGGATCCTATGTTGATATTTCTTTAAGGGGGCAATTATGCGAATAACGGAGAACCAAGTGGAAAAGACAATGAAACATGAAATGGAAACTGGGTGTATACATAGCGGCAATTAGGGCAACAGAGGTCAGTGTTGATCCTAAGCCCTAAAGCCTAAACTCAGAGTTGGGAATCTGTCGTGCGGGATTTGCTTCCAGGAACTGGCGCGCGTTTGGGTTGGCCAAATGGTTGATTGAGGTTTAGGGCCTGAGATACACTAAATCCTAATTTCTATAATTACTCTACACCCTTAACCCTTATACACCCAGTGCAAGCCCCGGCAATCCAAACACTGCTAGCTTCATGGGTTCCTCTTTTACCCCCGCCCCGCTGTACTAACCTCCTCTGTAGGTCCCCTTGATGAACGTCACCTAAGGATAGTTAGAGCCAATGAAGGGGATCAGCATAGGTTGCGTAATAGTGGAACCTATGAGAGCTTGGTAGGGAGAAATCCCAAGTTATGAGCAGGTTATGTCCTTAGTCTCTTATAGTTACTTATATAGATAGCATTCGTGTTTTGTAACTTGCCTACCTTGAACCGCACCATAAGCCCGAAACCCTAAACGTTTGGGTGTCCCCTGAACCTCGTATAATCCCTATACAAGCCCTATGTCATCCCTCTATCACCCCAATATTGTGTCATCTTATAAAACCTATAGAACCCCTATATAACCATTATAAGATCCCTATATACACCCTATATCATCCTTATATAATCGCTATATAATCCTTTTACAGCCGCTATATAATCCCTATATAACCACTATATAATCCCTTTCTACACCCTAAAGAATCCTCATATGAACCCCCATGACAACCCTAGAGCCTAAGCCCCTGAATAAACCCCCCTAAACCCTAAACCCTTAACCCTAGGTGGTAAAGATGCTTTGGGCCCTCTCGCGCCTTGGCGTCCGCGACGCAGCATTTTGCCAGTCTTCCGTGAAACAGGCAGCGATATGGGGCTTATATGGGGATTCTGTAGGGGCTTATGAAGGCATTCTATAAGAGATTATATGGGTGTTATATGGGGATTATATTGGGGTTAGGTGTTATATAGGGATTCTGTTGGGGTTAGGGAGATAATTAACCCCAATGATGGGCAATCAGATGGAGAAGAAGAGGAAATTGCATTGAAACTAGGTTTCTGGAGTGGTCGATAGGATTTTTTGGGTGGCCCTAAACCCTAAACCCTAAACCCTAAACCTGGTTAGGCTTTGAGGTTTCAGAGTCTAGAGTTACGGCTTGGAAGTTAAATGTTCGAAGTTGAGAAGTCAAGGGCTATGGCTTAGGGTTTAGGGTTTAGGGTTTAGTGTCTATGACCGGGAGTCAAAAGGTCTAGGACTTGGAGGAACTAATTCGAAAAGGCTTGCAGGGCTACACTGTAAGACTTGCTGAGGATTTGGCTGCAACTTCTGAATATTGGGGTTGGTGATGGGTCTCAGGATAGGGCTCCTGAAGGGGCCGAGGAGACCACATAAACAAACCCATCATCGCCCCAAAGGCATCCCAGAATTCTTTTGTAGGGAGGACCTTATACCCTGATGAGGCTCCAAGGAGAGTGAGGAGGGTTTTTGAAATCTTGGTACTCTTCTGTGGGTAATGGAAAAGAAATTGGATACCTCTAAGCCCTAAACCCGAGCTAATAGAGCGATCCAGGTTGGTCTCAAGGCTCAAGGGATTTGGTCGCCCTAAACCCTAAATCTTAAACCCTAAACCCTGAGTATGCTAGACCTAAAAGGCCCATGGGGTTGCAAAAAAACAACTCAGGGTTCTGGGTCTTGGTGCTGATGAGGCCTTAGCTGTGGTAGGGCAAAAGGTTTAGGGTTTCCTAAGGGTCCATGTACCCAATGCTTATTTACTTGGGATATTGGTAATAGTGATTATCGTATAGGTTTTGGGTAAGTATATGATTATTGGGTACTTGGACCCTTATGGTTTAGGGTTTAGGGATGGGAAGCTTCTCAACATCAGTCTCCAGCTCTATACGAGTGAAACAGTATGCTTCCTGTGTTAAACACCCCAAGACATTAGCCACTTAACTTGAGAATGACCTGAGGGTATGGGCTTTAAAATGAGCTTCGCCCTTGCGCTCAGGTTCCCAGACTTTGTTTCCACATGGTTGGACAGAGGTTTGGTGGTTTTGAGGCTCAGAAAGTTGAGGATGTTGGTCACCCCAAGCCCCAACATGGGTTTTGGGGTTTTGGTTTAGGGTTTAGGGTTCAGGGCTTAGGGTTTAGGATAAGAATCATTGGATTGGAACATGATAGGGTCCGTTTGATACCGGTTGCCAAAACATGTCCATTGGTTCCTGTCTTGCATGTCAAGAAACACTGCCACCCCATGTTGACCAGCAAGAAGCCCGCCTAGGTAGATAAGATACGGGGTATAGGGGAGTCTTATTATGTTCCGGGGAATTCCATATTCTGTCTACTTAAGGGGCACTCTACCCTAAACCCTATATCTACTTAAGGGAGACTATACCCTAAATCCTACACCAAAAAACACTAAATCCTAAACAACTTCTTTCAGGGGAGTTTAGGGTTTAGGGTTTGGGTTTTAGGGTTTAGGATTCAGGTTTTGGGGTTTAGGTTGTATGGTTTAGGGATTAGATTTTAGGTTTCAGGCTTTAGGATTCAGGTTTTAGGGTTTAGGGCCTAGGGTTTAGGACGAGCCCCAGACAATGGTCCTGTAAGGGCTACAGTCCGGTAAAGCAAGGAGCTTCAAGGGCTTACGCCTGATTTTCATGTGAGCTATAGTCTTGAAGGGGGGATATATAGGGGATTATATAGGGGACTACTACAGGGGTTTTTAGGGGGGATACTAGGAGTTTAGACAGTAGCTCATGTAGGTTCACCAGACTTGTGCACAAGATGTCGCTGCTGCGGCCAATCCCCGTAAGTATTCGACGGAACCTGGTACGCCTTCAAACTGGTTAGGTGTTTCGACGGTTGGACTGCCTGAAGATGGAGGCACCGCTGGTTTCGGGGGAGTGTTCAGGGTATAGGCTTAAACTTTGGATGAGGCTTACTACGTCGGTCTCAGGGTCTAGTCAGCACTTTCCTGCTCCACGGCATTGAATTATTGAATCTTCTGCCGTTGCCGTTATGTTGGCAAAGCGCCTGGACCTGGCAATCGAGTACTGTAGCTCCTTTCCCACAGGCGTGCTCCAACTCCTACACCCAGAAGCTGGCATGCATGCGAATGTTAGACTCCAACCTGTATCGTCAGCACAAGGTTCAGAGCCAAAGGCTCAGGGCATAGGTCTGAGGGAAGCTTACGCCAGGACTTGGGGGTATCCGAAGAACCTTTTGGGAACTCGTATTTTGCGGTGTACAGTGGAGTCCTCTATTGGTGCGAACTGCTGCTTGAATTCGCTGGGGTTCAGAGGTCCACATAAGGACCATCGTAGCGAAAGACCCCCTTTACTGATTGGTCACACATGGTACAGGGTTTAGGGTTGCTTTAATATAAAGGTTCACATGTGTCCCGGTAAGGATCCTTCGGAAAACGCTCAGCGATGAATGTCCTGCACCAAAAGTACTGAACAGCAACTCTTAACCTGAAGCCGACCATGAACCCCCTAGCACTCTCTAAACCTCAACCCTCCCCCTCTGCCGTAAAACCTCAAACCCTAAACCCTATTGCCAAAACCACAACATCTCTAATCCTTAAACCCTAAGCCCCAAACCATAGCCCCTATAGCCCATAAATCCCAAACACTGCAGACCCCAAACCAGAAATCTCAAGCGAGAAGCCCTAAACCGTAAACCCTAAACCCCTAAGCCCCCCAAACCCTTTGAACCCTAAACCCTAAACCCTAAGCTCTGCTCCCGCCAGGAGTTACTCCGGTTGGCTACAGGCCACCAACCTCAAGGGGTTTGGGGGGGTTTGGGCTTTGGGGTTCAGAGTTGGGGTCAAGGGTTTGAGGGTTTAGGGATTGAGGGTTTCAGGGTTTGAGGGTTTAGGAGTCAGGGTTTAGAGTTTTAGGGTTTAGGGTGTAGGGGTTGGGGTATTTGGGTTTGGGTTTGAGGTTCAAGGATTTGGAGGTTGGGGGTCGGGATGACCAGGCTTTGGTGCTTACAAAGCAGCAAAATGCTTCATACGTTGAATCGACTTGCCAGGTTCTGGGCGAGGCCTCCGGAATCCCTGCGGATGCGCGTAACTTACTGGGGGTTCGTGGGGGGGCTTCTCAAAAATTAGGGGGTACCATTATGGTGGTCCCCATAATAAGGACTGTAGTATATTGGGGTCTCTAGTGGGGTCCCCCGATTTTGGGAAACTACCATATGTTATGTACCCTACTAGCAGTAACAAAAAGGTTTTCGACAAGGGCTGGAAATTCGAAGAATGGGATATGCAGCCCGCAAGGGCATAAGCGCGGACCAACGTGATGATTCCCGGCACTACAGCGAGACATGTATATGCATTTAATGTATAGTTATATATATATCTATCCATCTATCTATCTATCTATCCATCTATCCATCCATCAATCAATCAATCTATCTATCTATGTGCACGTGCTTTTGAGGCTTCAGAGTCAGGCCACACATAGAGATTTGGGATTGGACCCCGTGGTTGTACCCCCGGATTTTGGATAAAGGGCTTCCAGGCCACCGGGGGACGTGTTTGAGGTATCTACCCAGGTACCCAAGAATACGTTGGTACCTTGTAGGAGTCTTTGTAAAGATTCTGAAGAGATTCTTCTGCGAACCTCGCAGAGATTTCAACTCTCTTCGCCTACTCCGCTGCCACGGAACTTCCATTCAGTTCCAAACATGTATTCAATAGCCAGCTAGGATTCAGGGTTTGAAATATACAGCCAGTTATGATTAGGGCTTTGAAGTAGCCAGTTAGGAGTTATGCTTGTCAGTTAGGATTTGGAATCTAGGTTTCAAAGTAGCGACTTAGGATGTCGGGCTTAGGGTATCGTGCAAATCAGCTAGACTCGCGCTCCCTTTCATTATGTAGGCTTAGGGCCTAGGGTTTAGGCCTTAACCCTGTGCCTTGACCACTGGGCAATTTAAAGCAACCTCACCTGACCTCACCCTAAATTGTGGTTCATATAGGGAATAGTACCCAAATGGCCTTGAATTGGGAAGTGAAATTGTTCGAAACTACGCTGTACACGTCCCCCTCCACCCTTATGCTTAAGCCCTACCCCGTGCCGAGGAGTAAAATGAATTCTTTTTGCAGGCCCCAGACCTGAAAGCTTATACTAGCAGTCGTGCGAGTAGTAGCGCCATGATGGAATACAAATTTCGCGCTGTCGAGGGTTTAGGATTTGGGTTCGTAATAGGAATGGCTTCTAATAGAATTCGTAGTAACAAGGGAAAGCGATGCAAACAGTTTAGGGAGTAGGGCCATACTACTATTTGAGATTTAGCTGCTTGATGTAGGGTTTGGAGCTTAAATGTTTCTCAGACTTGTACTAATGGCAGTAATAAAGGAGAAGGGCATCGAGACTAGTCTTTCATTTTGGGCTACGGCTCAAGCGATTTGTGGGATCTCGAGCACTTGTCTCAAACCTTCAATCAATTCGACTACCATGGCGACTCCTAAGACAGCGGCTCAAATCAGCGCTGAATGGGTCAAGGAGACGACGGTACCGAAAGTCACAGATGTGGCTGTCGGAACGGAATTTTCGAACGAGGCGCGCAATGCTGACGACTTTGTAAAGGCTACCGAACGAACTCTCAGCCAGAAAAGCCGAAACTTCCCTTTTTGGAGTTCCAGGCTAGGTCCCTGTTAAAACAGTCTTCATTGATGTGCCACTCATACCAGGCGCATTGGCCATACCCAGCACCTGCAGCCTGAACACCTGAACCTATAATCCCCCTTAACTAGATAGAATTTGGCCTTGGGTGTATTATAATGAGATCCCCACATACCCCATATTCTATCTACTTAAGGGTGACTATATACTCAGAAATTTGAACACCAAACCCGCAACCCAAGCCTCGTGCCTGCAGCCCTGCGCATTACATCTCAGACCTGCAGCCTCAACCTTCTAACCATCATATCCTCAGCCCTTAGTGCTTCAACCCCAAGAAAAGAGCCGCCACGAATGAACAACATTTTTCCAAAGCCCTAGACCCTACTTCCTAGATCCCAACCCTACAACATAGCCCTTTTCTCCTTCAAGACCTTAAACTCTCAGTCGTACAGCCGAAGGCCTCAGCCCCAAACCTTTTCATTTTCAAGATCCCAATTTCCACCGGCTAATTTTTTCAACTTCAAGACCGTAACCTCCACACCCCAAACCTTCTCACCTTCCAGAACTTAAAGCCTAAACCCTAATCCCTGGGTAACATCGCAATCCCTACCCTAAGTCTCAGACCCACACCCTAAGCCCGACTTGGAGGGTCAAGGGTATCTAGTTCGTAGGTTAATAATTGGGATACCTAGGGTTGCTATATGGATTATAGGGGCTACCAAAGTGTTACTAAGCCCCCCTGACTCTGAAAGCACACCCTAGGCCCAAAACCCTAGTAGTTTCCATCTTATTTTCCATTATTCCTTATATAACCCCAATATACTATAGTAGTTTCTATTTTCTTCTTCCAGTATCCCTATATTACCCTATATGGTAGTTTCCCAAAAGAATGGGACCCCAATATAGACCCCAAAATACTATAATCCTCATTATTGGGACCCCCCCTCAGAAGGTACCCCTAATTTTGGGAAACCCCCATATGACCTCTAAATAAATCCTAAGTCACCCACCAGGCGCAGAAGCCGCTGCCATTTCGCCCAGAGATTGGTTGGCCCTACAGGAATCATCTTGGGAATCTCTTCAGGTTTCCCGGGCTAAGGGTTAGGGGTTTAAGGTTTAGTGTTTAAGGTTTAGGATTTAGGTTTAGGATTTAGGGTTTTTGGAGGTGGGGGGGTAGATTTTGCAAGCTCCTGTTCCTCCCCATTCCCTAAACCCTAAAACCCTGAACCCTAAACCCGGGACCCTCAACCCTAAAGCCTAAAACACTATCCTGGTGTTGAACCTCTCAAACTTGAGTTCCGCCTTTTCCACACAACCCATAACAGCAATCCCCAATTTCGAGAATGGGGGGTGTAGGGTGGAGGGTTATAGGGTTATATAGGGATCTTGTAGGGATACTTTAGAGTTTAGGGTTATATAGGATATTATAGGGATACTATATGAGTTTACGGGTAAGTATGCGCTGGTATAAGAAGTCCCCAACAGATTGTAATACATCCTCTTTGCTAATAGCTGTTCCACAAGAAAAGCCATCTTACGTGCTTAAATCTTCAAACCCTAAACCCTAAACCCTAAACCTCGAACCCTAAATCCCGAAGCCGAAGCCCTGAATCCCAAACTCTGACCCTGAGGGTCCATGTACCCAATATTTAGGTACTTGGGATATGGGGAATAGTAATTATAGTTTAGGTTTTGGGTAAGTATATGATTATTGGGTACTTGGACCCTTAGGGTGAACCCCAGACCCTAAAGCCTAGCCCCTAAACTCTTCACGCTAAACCCTGCAGGGCCGGAACCCTACAGACAGTCTTTTCTCCTCAGTTGGTGGTGCCGTTAAAGAAGCTGCCAAATCCTGAAAGGAACCCTTGAGCTTGAAACATGGATGAGCATGCTGGCGACTCGGCGACTCGGTGCAGGCGGTGCAGGGCGGATGCAACAAGATCGCCCAGGCCGAGCTTTCAGCCTGCGCAAAAGAAGAGTTGGCGAAATTGAGGGAGCCATTCTAAGCTGAACACGCTTATGCCAGGAGTCCATGGTGAGGATGGCGAGTTCCAAGGTACAGCAGGCGCGCTTGCTGCATGCCGCGAGCTGGATGGCGCCAAGGAGCAGCACGAGGAGGCTAGCAACGAAATTTGCCAACTCCAAGGGACATAGCAATAGCTGACGTGGACATTAAACATCGGCGCTCAACAGCAACCTCTTCCACGCAACGAAATCTAGAATTATTAGTAACCATGCTATGTATTCTCGCATGAAGGTGCTACTGCAAACCCGAAGCCCTCAGGACTGAGCCCTTTCGAAGCAGCATTCTATCACAGAGCTAGCTTAGCGGAGACATCGTGCAGAAAATTGAGTCTGGTCTGAAACAGCTCCCTCACCGCAAACCGCATCCTCCAATCCTCCTTCCGCCCGGCGCTCATTTATGGACTTCATGCTTTCCCTCTGACCACTCCGCAACTACATAAGATTGACACGTATTCTTACCCTAAAGGTCCAAGTACCCNNCCTATACTATAATTACCATTACCCATATCCCAAGTACCTAAATATTGGGTACATGGACGCTCAGGGTTAGTGGTTCTTGAGAGTGGTGGTTGGCATCGAGGCTGCCTTTTGTTCCCGGGTTCCCAATCAGTTTGGAGACAGGCCAATTAGCCTCAACTGCCATCAGCACAGTTCAACTGCTTGCAAGATATAAGGATTCAGGACGTTTTCTTCACAAAGTCGACGGACCCCTTGCATAATGCTGTCTTCTGCAGCTCGTTTCAGGATGGCATTTTAGCCTAATGGCGCAGACAGGGAAGGCAGTTTCTTTTTTGGACAGAGGTAGCCAACAAGAAATTTAATCGGATAGAAGGAAGACCACCCCGCTACCTCAGCTCAACCTCGTAACCATTGGCCCCCTGCGCAAATACGTGGAGCTTGCCCGGAAGCCGTGGAGAAAATAGGAGCAGGCGTCAAGACGCTCAAGCTGCGAGCACGCATGAACCCGCAAAATTCGACAGTGAAAACTCCTTATTAAAGGAGGTTATCTAGGGTATTGGGTTTAGGGTCTAAACTTATATCCTTAACCTTTCACCCTAAACTCTGAAGCCTTAAGCCAAAGGGTCCAAGTACCCAATAATCATGTACTTACCCAAAACCTATATTATAATTACTATTACCAATATCCCAAGTACCTAAATATTGGGTACATGGACCCTTAGGGTAAGCCTCCTCAACTGCGAGGAGGAGGTGGCTCGGAGGCTACCAGACCTGCCCCACTCTTCGTTCGCCTTTTGGACCAGCTGCGGCCAGGACGTTTAGGGTTTAGGGTATAGGGTTTGGGGTTTAGGGTAAGGGTGTCAACTTAAAGGGTTTAGGGTTCAGGGTTGTAGGGTTTGGGGATAACCGCCCTCCCCTTAACAGGGATTATGATAGAAATCCTCCTACTACGCCCTCACAAAGACGTCAGGTCTACATTAGGTCTGGCTTGGAGGCTTCTGGGTAGTTATTGGTGGGGTTGTAAGTTGAGGGTGAAGGGTATGATTCCCCGACGCTAAATCATAACATCAACAGATAACCCCAAACCCGCAACACGTTCAGACCCTCACGCAGCCTTGAACTCTAAACTGCCAACCTCCTTGGCCAAACTTTTTTTTTGTTTCTTTCGTTTGGGTGGTTGGGCCACTGTTTGACCTGAGCTCAAAGTCCAGGTAACCCCTTAAAACGCAAAGCCCTCGAAACCCTAAACCCCAAATCCCCACCCCCAAGTTTGAAGCCAAAACGCCAAACTCCAGGATCTTGTGGGTATTGCCTTCATGTGCCAGATGGCCAATGCTCTGGCCAGGAGGTTTAGGCAGGGCTGTCGTGGTGAGCTGCTAAATCGTCTACAGGGTTAGGTGTTTGGATTTAGGGATTTAAAGCTTATGGCTTAATGGCTTGGAGCTTGACAGGGTTCAGGGTTTAGGATTATACGTCAGGGGCCGCATATACGGGGCACCCGTAAGTAAGGATTTCCAAAGGCCTTTCCAATGCTCCTAGGGTCCTATGTGGCCTTCTAATGCGGGAGCCCTCATATGGAGTCGCGTTCGGGCTTCCTGTATATGAGGCTCCTTACTTGATTTGATTCCTACACTTGCCCTAATGCGGCTTTTCCATTTCCATCTTGAGGAAGCATAGTTTTGAGTCAGTTCTTGAACAACAACCATAACACGCGGATGCTTTTCACCCCGGCCCTCCACCCGTAAGCCCTACACCGTAAGCTGCACGCGGAACGCCTTGTTTCTGGCAGCTGTCGTTCTTGGTCCACGAGGCGGTAAAGGAGCCTTCAGAATGATGTTGTGGGGCTTATGTTTAGGGGTATAGGGTCTAGGGTTCAAGCTTGAGTGTGTGTGTGTGTGTGGAGGGTTTAGGGCAGAGAGGCTCTGGGCTTAAGGTTTCAGGCACTGCTTATTTATGAGATTATGTCTAAGGTGCTCTTGTTGAACCTCTGGCCGAATTGTACCTTGTATCGCAGAGGCCCTAATCTCGAAACCCTAACCGGCCCTAACCCCCTAGTCTGAAGAACCCTAACCCCTAAAGTTGAGGGTTGAGTCTATGGCACTTACAGGAGGGGAGCTCCCAAGAGAGGATCTTACATAAGCCTTATCTACCCATTATACAGCTCGAACGAATTCCTACAAGCTAAGTTACTTGACCCCCCAAGTAGACACTTGAGCCATTTCTAGAAACCCTCAACCCTAAACCCTAAACCCACAAAGTGCCAGAGCAGGTTCATGCCAATCACACTCCATGTGAGCCTGCTGAGTGGAAGGACCGTTGCGAGTGAGACTGAACTGGATGTTGATGTTGCTTTATTCAGGCGACGCGCGCAAATGGCCTTGTCAGTCGGAAAGGGTAGCCTTGTCCACCCTAGCGGATCAGTGCTGAATGATTCAATGACACTCAGAGACTGTGAGTTGTGCAGTGGCGATTTATCAAGCCTACAAATGCAGGCCGTCACGATACGGGCTACTACATATACTATAGTAGCTTCCATTTTCTTTTCCATTATCCCTATATTACCCCAATATATGAATTACCCAAATCCATATTCTATCTACTTCAGGGCTACTAGAGCATCTCAGTGTGCAGCATTTGCTGTGGTCCTTGGCGATGGATCGGTGTTGACCTGGGGATATGTTGACTACGGGGGCGACAGCAGTGCCGTGCGAGATCAGCTGAGGAATGTGCAGCAGATTCAAGTCAGTAAGCGCGCTTTTGCAGCCATCCTTGCAGATGGATCCGTGGTGACTTGGGGCGATGCTGAATGCGGTGGCGACTGCAGTGCGGTGCAAGATCAGTTGAAGAGCGTGCAGCAGATTCAAGCTAATTCCGTCGCTTTTGCAGCCATCCTTGCAGACGGATCCGTGCTGACTTGGGGTGATGCTGATTCAGGTGGCAGCAGCAGGGCTGTGCAAGATCAGCTGAAGAATGTGCAGCAGATTCAAGCCAGTAAGCGCGCTTTTGCAGCCATCCTTGCAGATGGATCCGTGGTGACTTGGGGTGATGCTCGCTTCGGTGGCAACAGCAGCACTGTACAAGATCAACTGAAGCATGTGCAGCAGATTCAAGCCAGTCAGGGTGCTTTTGCAGCCATCCTTGCTGATGGATCCGTTGTGACCTGGGGTGATGGTTCGTTCGGTGGAAACAGCAGTGCTGTGAGAGATCTGCTGCTCCCGTAGCAATGCTTTTTTTGCAGACGTCTAGCAGGTAAGGCATACAGCATGCCCTCACTCGTGTAGGACGTGCTGCACCCCACAACGTGCTTCATATGTTTAATCCTTTGCTGGAAGTTCTGTCCGCCTTGCCAAAAGCAAGTGGCTTGCAGCTTATGAGAAAGCCAGAAGTTTCTTGTTGAGTTGGAGCTTAAGGGGGGTGCCATTTAAATTTTCCCTGCTGTCATTGTATTGCAGTCACCCTACCCAAACCCTAGACCATAACACGTAACGCTAATGTGTTACAGTTAAGTTAGCTGTGCGACCCTTTGGAGTATTTATCTATTCTCCTTTCTTGGTTTCATAAGGACCCTGCATACCTTATATATGTTTTTCAAAGGGCTCTAGAGGCCAGCTAAGGCTGAGCTAGGTATCAAGAAACCCTAAACCCAAAAACCCGAACCCTAAACCCTAACCTACCCATATCCTTAGGGGGAGCTAAGGAGCTAGGGATAGTCTATATCAATATAGTAAGGGGAGCTAAAGAGCCCAGGAATCTCCAAAACCATAGGGGAGCTAAACCCTAACGCTGGTCAAGAAACCGGAGCGCCACCCCGGTTCCTCGACTTGTGAGTATTGTACTAGGCAAGTTGAAGCGACCTCATCAGACCTCACTCTAAATGGTGGTCTAGATAGGGAATAGTACCTAAATTATTCTGAAAACCCTTGATTGTATATCGGTACTGCTTGGGACTTAGCTTGGACCTTATACCCTTAACCCCTTGGGATTCCCTTATACTCCTATTGTAGTACCTAAAGGGTTAGCCCTTAGAAGGGGTCCCAAGTACCACGTAGGGTAGTTCCCAAAATTATGGTCCCATTCTGGTTCTCGTAAATATTAGGTTCCGTAATCTAATCTACAGCCAAAAGGGATCCATAATTTTGAGCACAACCCAGATTACAATTATTATTGCTATTAGTATTTCTTACTCTTGCTATTAGTATGTGTATTAATATTTGTACTATTACTAGTAGTCGGAGCAGTATTACGATCAGGATTACTACTAGCATTTGTATTGTTGTTGTCGTTATAAGTTGTTCTGATTATGGTAAACCGCTTTGCACCCCACCCACACACACAGGTTTCCAAGGCAGAAGTCCGTAAGGTATGGACATTGTTCGACATGCCCTGTAGTACGACCTTGAGAGGCTCCTCACCCTAAGCGTCCCAGCATCAACGCATGCAATACTCCTTGCTCGCAATTTGCCGCTGTTTCTAGCTGCAGCCCCGAATCCTGAAGCAGGTGAAGCAGGTGGGTTTGTCATCCAACCCCAAACCCTACACCTCAAAATCCTCAAACCTAGGGCCTTGACCCAATGACTGTACTTGTGCTTTGTGTTGTGCGAGCCTGCGCGATGCATTCAACCCAGTGCGTGGTGCGATGTGATTCGCAGGGATCAAATTTGGGGGCCCTTTCGAGTAAGGGTTTTAGGGGTTGTGTTGGGTTAACGCGTGGAGTAGGGTTACATATAAACGCTCACCCCTACGACCCCCTTTTTCAGGCCTGGTGCAGATTGTTTAGTGTTAAATCGGGAATATTATCCAAATCCTGGATTCCTGGATTTCCAGTTTTTGAGCTGATTTTGGTCGATATAGATTCCTACCGCAATTTCATTGAAAACAATACAGAAATCCTGAGGGGAAGGTTGAGCTTACCAAACGCCTCTTATTTAGGGTGCAGGATTTAGGGTTTAGGGTTTGTTGATGCTTCGCGCTTGAGTGCTTAGTTCGTAGGCCGGGTTTGAAGGTTTGCGCCCCAAAGCCTATTGAAACCCATGGCATTCGACAGGCTCCAAGTACCAAGTACCCAAATAGCCGACGGGCTGGATACCAAAAACCCTGTGTGACACAAGTACCGTGCATCGTAGGAATTTTGGTACTGCAGTGAACGGAGGTCATGCACGATTTTTAGTAATCAAGCAAGTACTATGTCTACTATCTGGGACCTCGAACCCTCTATCATTTGAGTAGTATCTTATTTGGGGTTACTATGGTACCCAATATAGAGTAAGATTCTATCCTCCTGTGGGGTGTAGTATTTTATATAAGGAATATGATCTTACTAGGTTCAACCACCAAAACAAACACTACTCATTTGGGTAGTTGGACACTTTTGGCAGGCGTGGGGTTTGTCTGCAAGGTGATGCATGGTCAGATTACGTTATATGGAACCTTGTCGTAAGTATTCTAGACAGAAGATTAGGGCGTAGGTTTAGGGTTCAGGGCGTAGGACTTATCAAGCTTAACTTAGACTACGGAACCCTGAACCTTTTACCGTAAATGCTAAAACGTGTGGTTGGGCTGCAGAGGCCTCCATATCAACAGACCTGGGGGAGCCTTGGGGTTCAAGGTTTAGGGCTTCACGTATAGTAGGGTTTTGGGGTGGTAGGGTTTAAAGTTTAGGACGCAGGGTGTAGCTTTAGGGGATTGAGTGCTTGGATTTGGAAGCGCTTTGAACAATGCTGCCAGAGGTCCAAGCAAGTGTGGGGACATTCAGGGGGTCATCAGAGTCCCTACCAAGGATGAGATAGAGCTTGTTGTGGCAAATTCGAGAACATAGCATGGGCTTGTTCAAGCAATTTCAATTTCTGAACCCCAAAAACCCTAAACCCTGAACCCTAAACCCCAACCCTGATGACTTCAAGCCTTGAATCTTCAAAGCCTCTGAGCTGCGGAGCCCTCAGCCCTAAACCTTGGGTACTGCCCCCCACCCAATAACAGTCTATGTTAGGGGTCCTATTAAAGGCTATATATACCCATATTATATTTATTAGCCAACTGTTACTGAGTGGGGGCAGTACCCAATCTAAACCCTAATTTCAGGATCAGATGCGGGGAGGCCCACACCCTACTCGAGTAGGCTTTAATTGGGGGATATCATGGTACCCAATATAGAGTAAGATTATATCTTCCTTTTGGGGTATGGTATTTTTATATAAGGAATATAGTCTTACTGGGCTTAACCGCCAAAAAAAACACTACTCACTTAGAGGTTCATGCGTAGCTTCAGTCGAGTCAAGTTAGGTTACAGCCCAAGATGCCCAACAAAACCTTAAATACCAACAAAAGCCAGCCCGTTCAAGTAAAACCTGAACGGCCGGGGGAGGTCTGCGCTGGCTGTCCTCTTGCGCCAGCGCGGCTGCAGTCGCGATTCGCTACCGCTGCAAGGTGCAGATCGCACCTTGGGCCAAATGAGTAGCATTCTATTTGGGGGCATACTGCGGTACCCAATATAGAGTACGATTATATCCTCCTTTTTTTGGGATATAGCATAATAAACAACCGCCAGAGGTCCCCATCTAACTATTCAAACGTGTTCCAAGCTTGAAAGTCACATCGTTCACTACGCAGTCCATCAGAATTTTGGCTACCTATGGAGGCCCTAAACCTTAACCCGAACCCCAAAACCCAAAACCCTAAACCCTAAACCCTTAACCTGAACCCCTAAACCCTAAACCTAAAACCCTAAACCCCTAAACCCTAAACCCTCAGATGCATGACCCATACCTCGCAGGTCACGTGCTGGACAAAGCTCCTGGTGTGGGCGTCTGCGACGGAGAGGCCGTGAGAGAAGTGAAGGTTGCGGTTTAGGGTTTAGGGATTAGGGTTTGGGGTTTAGGGTTCAGGGCTTAGGGTTTAGGGTTTAAGGTTTAGGGCTTAGGGTTTAGGATTGAGGGTTTAGGGCTGGCCATTGGGCTTCAGTGTTTATAGGGCTTATTTTGATGGTGGCTTCTCGCACTTCTAAAAGTTTGGCGGGTTCCTGGAATTATATGTCCCCCATATCATGAGCTTAGAGTTTAGAGTGCAGACCTGAGTTTGCCGGCGAAGGACTTCTGGCCTCAGTCAAGGATTCTTTGAATCTTTTCATGTTATGAGATATGGGACAGTGTAATTTAATGAGAACCCCTTTCGGGACCTAGAGTTGCTGGGTGATCTTAAATCCTCCATGACTCTAGATTCTAGAGCCCCGAAAGGGCTTCGGGGTCATATGAGGTTTCCCAAAATTGGGGGTGAATCAGTTTGGGGCTCCCTGAGAAAGGACTTAAAGTCTATTGGGGCTTATATTGAGGTACCCTAGTTTTGGGAAACTACCATATCGGGGGGTTGCCAACTACAGGGATCCATGCTCTCAGTCTTCGCTTCCCCCCGAACAAGAAGACCACCTTGCCTTGAAATGAGCTATAGTCTAAACTTCTTAGGGGGGTTATAGCGGAGATTAAATTGGAGATTTTTCTTACAGGGTTCTCAAGAGGGGTAGTATTCAGGAGTTTAGATTACATCTCGAATGAGCACTGCAACTAATCATGTAGGTC